TGGGGGGCGGAGGTTGTAGTTAGCTGAGACTGTACCACTATGCTCCAGCCTGATGACAGAGCAAGGCTCTGTCTCAAAAAAGAATAATCATAATAAAAAGTATGAACTCTCTGATGTTGAGATGTGAGCAGATATTAATGGCTTTTTCACATTCCGTATATTTGAATTTTTTGTTTCAAGTACAATTGATTTCCTGTGCAGTAAGGTGTGAGCATTGGTTAAAAATTTTGCCACATTCTTCACACCTGTAGGTTGCTTTTTTTTGTATGAATTATCTTATGTACAATCCTGACAACCTTTAAAGGCTTTGTTACATTATTCACATTTCTAAGATTTCTCACCAGCATAATTTCTTTTATGTTTAGAAAACTTTGAGGTGTTGTCAAAAATCACTCTTACATCTTTTAGGTGTGGCAAATGCCTCAGTCTATCCAGAAAAAGTATTCAGGAGATACTGATATCCCACCCAAGTTTATTTTCCATTTTTCTCCTGGGCTGCATCCTAGGAGACAGTGGCTCAGTTCAGGCCTTGGACCTTGCTTGGCGCTTACCTGTGTACACGCTGTTCATCAGGAGGCCGCTTGGTTAGTTAAGTCCTGAAGGTGAGGAATTTTGAAATGGCTTTTCAAAAGCTGGGCTAATTTTATTCCTTCTAAGTGGGTGGAAGAATGGAGACGATCAACCAAGGCTTCTCCTGGGGTGCGGGGCAGAAAAATTCAGGACTCTGGGAGAATCCACCAATCATCTTGATCTTTGTTGGCCTGGAGGTTTGTAGCTTGCTCTTCCTCTGGGGAGTAGACAGAGCAATCTGGCAGGCTGGAAGGTAGGAAGGAGATGGCTGGCAGTAAAGTTAATCGGATAACTGGGAGTGTAGCTGCTTTGCAGGCTGCAGAATCTGCCTTTTAGTTCCCCCAGGCGACAGTTGTGTTTTGTTTCTGGTGTCCACTGAATTACAGCCACCTGTTGCGGGAGCCAAATGGACTCAAGCAGGGCTAGAATTTCTTTTGTTTTTGATAGTCTTTCCAGGGCGGGCGCGGTGGCTCACGCCTATAATCCCAGCACTTTGGGAGGCTGAGACGGGTGGATCACGAGGTCAAGAGATCGAGACCATCCTGGTCAACATGGTGAAACCCCGTCTCTACTAAAAATACAAAAATTAGCTGGGCATGGTGGTGCACGCCTGTAGTCCCAGCTACTTGGGAGGCTGAGGCAAGAGAATTGCTTGAACCCAGGAGACAGAGGTTGCGGTGAGCCGAGATCGCGCCATTGCACTCCAGCCTGGGTAACAAGAGCGAAACTCTGTCTCAAAAAAATAAAAATAAAAAAATAAAAAGATAGTCTTTCCAGCTGAGGTGAGTAGCCCATGCTCCTGATGGCTCCCTGAACAGGTACAGTAGCAAAGGCATATCAGCTGTTGGTGTAGATGTTGATGTGTTTGTTCTTACCCCAACGGAAGGCCTGAGTGAGGCAACTAATTCAGCCTTTTGTGCAGAAGTTCCGGCTGGCAGAGCCTGGGCCCACAGTGTGTCTGTTTCTGTGGTGATGGCTGCACTGGCTTTTCGCACTCCTTGTTCAATGAAGCTGTAAATACGGTGGCATCTGTCTTTTCCAAAGTCATATCCTAGAGATCAGGTCAGCTGGTTTTTGTAGTTTCTAACAGCTCTTGGCAGTAATGGACAGGTACAGACAGGTTGGAGCAGGGAGTAGAGTGGCTGGGTTTAAGCACCTTGTGGGGGAGAGTCAGGTGAGGCTGATCCAACAGTAAACTCTGGCACTGCAATATACGAGTGTTTTGACATTCCTTTTCCGGGAGCTTCTCGCAGCAGGGACTGTACGGCATGGGGGACCGTAAGGGTCAGGTCCTGACCCAGAGTTAATCAGTTTCTTGGACTAGACAGGCAGTGGCTGCTACAGCCCGCAAACAACTAGGCCATCCAGAAGCTCCAGTCTCCTGGAAATGGATAGACTGACCCCCAACAGTAGCAGTAACCATGGGCTCCTGGGGGCCAAGAGAAAAGGGATCCCCAGCCCCATCAATCTGCTTCAAGATCTCTTGCTTCTGGAAGGGTGAGAACTTCCTCTCTGGCTTTTCTGGGCATTCATTTTTTCCAATATCTGAGTTATTTACAATATGCACATTGATTTTTTTTTTTTTGTAGGGGTGTTCTCTTTGCCCTCCCACAGGAATATTGAGACTTTGAGTCAGGTTTTCCCCCAGTATAACTTTTCTGTTTAGGATTATCTTGTTTAGCTTCCTGGATTGCGGCAACTATGATTTTTGCCTGCCTTTTTGATACTCTGACAGCTGCCTTTCAGTTGCCAGAGTAGCCAGTTTTTGTTTTTTCTTGGTCTCGATTGTCAATAAACCTTTTGAGCTATTTCCAGGAGTTGGGAAATGTTCATTCCAATGAATCCCTCAAGTTTTTCTAACTTTCTCCAAATATCAGGAGCTGCCTGGGCCACAAATGCCAAATTAATAGCATGGCTATTTTCGGGAGCCATTTGATCAAATGGAGTGTAAATTCGATAGGCCTCCTGGAGGCATTTCAAAAACACTCCAGATGACTCGTTGGGCCCCTGGACAACTTCAGTTGTCTTAGACAGATTCATGGGTTTCTGAGTGGCTCCTTCACTACCAGCAAGGAGATACTGGTGGAAATTGTCCAAAGCTCTACTTCCATCCGAGGTATCTGGGTCCCAGTCAGGCCAAGTAGAAGGAAAACTTTCCTCTAGGAGGTCTTGGGGTCCCTCCTCTGGCATACTGGCTGAACTAAGGAAAATCTTTCTGGCCTCCCTTCGAATACAGTCCCTTTTCTCAGATGTAAGAAGGGTCAGGAGAAGCTGTTGCCAATCATCCCAGTTGGGCCGGTTAGTCCAGAGTATGGACTCAATCAGTGAGGTTAGTACCTGAGGATTCTCAGAGAAAGGTGGGTTTTTGAGCCTTCCAGTTGTACAGGTCAGAAGTAGAAAAATGAACATAATCCAAAAATGGGACAGCTCACTCACTACCTGGTGGGGATGCTGCCTCCCTTAAGGGTAGGAGTGGGGCAGCCTCCTCTGGCCGAGGCTGCAGTTGGGAGGCAATAAATAGGTGGAGAACACAGGAGACGAGAAGACAGAAGGGAGCCCAGGGGAGCAGGAAGATTATAGGGTAGAGGCAAGGGAATAATAGAATTTTCCTCCTCCTCGGAAGGGGACAGAACAGGAGGAAGACAGGGAGCTGAGGGTTGGAGCAAAGGAGAAGTCAGGCTCAGCCAAGGAGGGGTCAGACCAGTCATTGGGGCATGGGGGTGTGACAATCTAGGCACCAACAACCTCTATGTGCCAGAAATTCCAGACTGTTGGATGTTTAGCACAATTTTCCCAGTAATTTCCCACAATTTTCCCACCTGATCTGTTTTTGACAGAAAAGACAGGACTAAGATGGCCAGCCCAAACGGCTAATGAGGTCTGCACTAAGGACCTTGAAAAAGTTGTCACCCAATCGTCTCGGGCAATAAGGATGATGGGACATACAAATTCAAACGCTAGAGACAAACAGGACAACAGACATGAGACATACAAATCCATGTTAGGAACAAAACAGGAAAACTGACAGTGAGGTAGATAAATTATTATGGCAGTTTATCAAGGACAAACAAGGGAGAGGGGGTCCTGTATTGGGATTACTCAGATGCCTACCTGGTTGCACCCTGTGCAGGAACTTAGGCACCTCTTGGCATGAACAGGTCGGTATAGGCCGGGCGTGGTGGCTCACGCCTGTAATCCCAGCACTCTGGGAGGCCGAGGCGGGTGGATCACATGAGGTCGGGAGTTCAAGACCGGCCTGACCAACATGGTGAAACCCCGTCTTTAAAACCCCTGATTTGGATCGGGCTTAGCCCGATGCTGTCTTTAAGCCGTATGAGGACACCACGGAACCGCAGGTTAGGGTCCACTTGGACTCCGTAGCTTTTGTCATGGAGCCATAAACTGGATTCTTAGACGCAAGCCTCTAAGGTCCCCACGCACTCACACATGCACACACACTCAGAAGTTATGAGTTTTGTACTTTTTTGTAAACCAGTCAGGATCCCAGAGAAATTTCCTTTTCCTCAGAAAGTTCTCAAAAAAATCAGTGAGGATCCTGGAGAAATTTCCCTTCCCTCAGAAATTTCTCACAGAACTGGGAACTCTGTCCTCCAGCATCCTGGAGTGTTGACAGAATCCTGAAAGGTGGCCCTCGTCAGGGCCAACGACCCTCCCTGGTCCAAACACAGAGTCAGGCTTGACTTACCTTTTCTGTGAACGAGGACACAGGACTCAGAAAAGAAGTTAGAGGGGTGAGTCAGTAGGCGATCTGATCTCCGGAGGATGGTGACCTATGGGGCTCCAGAACGTCTCAGGGGGTGCCTCCCCTATACTTCACCTCGGAGTGAAGTGCATCTGGGGACCTCGGAGCGAGTCCAGTCCATGCCCGGTGGCCATATCTTGCCAAGTGTTGTAACCCAGTGAGTTAAGAGAAAGCGCTACTCTCTGAGTTCTGATTGAGAGTCCTTTATTGCTGGCAACTGAGAGGCAGCTAACGCTTAAAAGTCTCTCCACCCTGAGGAAGGGGCTTGATTTCTTTGCATACCTAGCTTAGGATAGGGGAGGGGGAGCCTAGCTGAAGCATAATTTTACAGAAGCAGAACAAGCAAGTTAGTAGGAAGAGGCTGGTAACCAGGAGGCAGGAGGTTCCCATAGTTGCTGGTTACTAAGAGCATTTCCATATAATCATCAAGGGGGTTACCAGGGGGACTTTCTATACAATCAGCCTACAATAGCAGGTAGACTTGCCAAGCAGGATGTGGTTACATTGGTTACAGGTACTGAGAACAGCATGACCCAAACCTCAACAGTTCAAGGCTCTGAGTACATCATGACTCAGTAATGCACCTGTGAGGGCTGTGGCAGGGAGGGAGAAACTAAGCTGGAGCTTGTCAGGCTTATTTCTAAGATGGAGTCAGGTTAGTTCATTTCAGTAGGATTTCTCTCTGGTATGAATTCTCTTATGTGTAGTAAGGATTGAGGACTGGCTAAAAGCTTTGCCACATTCTTCACATTTGTAAGGTTTTTCTCCAGTATGAATTCTTTTATGTGTAGTAAGGTTTGAAAACCGGTTAAATGCTTTGCCACATTCTTCACATTTGTAGGATTTCTCTCTGGTATGAATTCTCTTATGTGTAGTAAGGATTGAGGACTGGTTGAAAGCTTTGCCACATTCTTCACATTTGTAGGGTTTCTCTCCAGTATGAATTCTTTTATGTGTAGTAAGGTTTGAGAACCAGTTAAAGGCTTTGCCACATTCTTCACATTTGTATGGTTTCTTTTCAGTATGAATATTCTTATGTTCACTAAGGCTTGAGGATTGTGTAAAAGCTTTGCCACATTCTTCACATTTGTAGGGTTTCTCTCCAGTATGAATGGTCTTATGTGCAGTAAGGTTTGAGCATTGTTTAAAAGCTTTGCCACATTCTTCACATTTGTAGGGTTTCTCTCCAGTATGAATTCTCCTATGTTTAATAAGAGTTGAGGACCAGTTATAAGCTTTGCCACATTCTTCACATTTGTAGGGTTTCTCTCCAGTATGAATTCTTTTATGTGTAGTAAGGTTTGAGGACCGGTTAAACGCTTTGCCACATTCTTCACATTTGTATGGTTTCTCTTCAGTATGAATATTCTTATGTTCAGTAAGAATTGAGGATTGTTTAAACGCTTTGCCACATTTTTCACATTGGTAGGGTTTCTCTCCACTATGAATGCTCTTATGTCTAGTAAGGTGTGAAGACTTGTTAAAAGCTTTGCCACATTCTTCACATTTGTAGAGTTTCTCTCCAGTATGAATTCTCTTATGGGCAGTAAGGGATGAAGAGTGTTTATAAGCTTTGCCACATTCTTCACATGTGTAGGGTATCTCTCCAGTATGAATTTTCTTATGTTCAGTAAGTTTTGAGGATCGGATAAAAGCTTTGCCACATTCCTCACATTTGTAGGGTTTCCTTCCAGTATGAATTTTCTTATGTTCAGTAAGCTTTGAGGATCGGTTAAAAGCTTTTCCACATTCTTCACATTTATAGGGTTTCTCACCAGTATGAATTTTTTTATGCGTGGTAAGGGCTGAGGAGTGTTTAAAAGCTTTGCCACACTCTTCACATTTGAAGAGTTTCTCTTCAGTATGAATTTTCTTATGTTCAGTAAGATTTGAGGATCGGTTAAAAGCTTTGCCACATTCTTCACATTTGTAGGGTATCTCTCCAGTATGAATTTTCTTATGTTCAGTAAGTTTTGAGGATCGGTTAAAAGCCTTGCCACATTCCTCACATTTGTAGGGTTGCTCTCCAGTATGAATGATTTTATGTTCAGTAAGTTTTGAGGATTGGTTAAAAGCTTTTCCACATTCTTCACATTTGTAGGGTTTCTCTCCTGTATGAATTGTCTGATGTGTAGTAAGGTGTGAGGACTGCCTAAAGGCTTTGCCACATTCTTCACATTTGTATGGTTTCTCTCCAGTATGAATTGTCTGATGTGTAGTAAGGTGGGAGGACTGCCTAAAGGCTTTGCCACATTCTCCGCATTTGTAGATCTTCTCTCCAGTATGAATTATCTTATGCCTAGTAAGGTGTGAGGACTGGTTGAAAGTTTTGCCACATTCCTTATATTTGTTGAGTTTCTCTCTGGTATGAATTATCTTATGTGTAGTAAGGGCTGAGGACTGGTTAAAGACTTTGCCACATTTTTCACATTTGTAGGATTTCTCTTCAATATGAATTCTTTTATGTTTAGTAAAGATTGAGGATCCATTAAAAACTTTTCCGCAGTCTTCACATTTGTAGAAATTTACTCTCGTATGGATTATTTTATGTTGAGTTAGGTTTGAAAACATGCAAAATGATTTGCCAAATTCTTTACATTTAAAAGTTTTTTTTCCAGTATGTCTTATCTTATGTCCACTTAGATTTGAAAATTTATGAAAGATTTTCATGTATTCATCACATTGAAATATTTTGCTCTGGGTAATTGGCAAACATTTGTTAAGTCCATTATAACCTCCTTTTTGCACTTTGCACTCATTCACACTCTTACTACATTTTCTTAACTGTAAATTCTCATGTTCACATTTTCCATATCTTTTCAGTGTCACTTTTTGAAAAGAATCTTTTATGTTCTGCTCTGGTGAAAAGTCTTGGGCAAAATGAGAGCAAATAACTGAAAGAAATAAAAATAACAAATTACTCCACTTGTTAAATGAATAAACTTTACAAATCCAATCTATATAATTATACAAATTACATAAGCAATATGGTACAGAAAAATGCCAAAGACCTTAATTTCCTTTCTTTTTTCTTTTTTTTTTTTTCCTGACATGGAGTCTTGCGCCCTGTTGCTTGGGCTGGAGGGCCGCAGTGCCATAGTGTGATCTCAGCTCACTGCAATCTCTGCCTGGGTTCAAGCAATTCTCCTGCCTCAGCCTCTTGAGTAGCTAGGAGTTCAGGCGTGCGCCACCACATGCAGATAATTTTTGTATTTTTAGTACAGATGGGATTTTACCATGTTGACCAGGCTGGTCTTGAACTCCTGACCTCCTGATTCACTCACCTCAGTTTCCCAAAGTGCTGGGATTACAGACATGAGTCACCGCACCTGGCCCAAAGTCCCTAATTTCTTAATAGAAATATAAGTGTAACAAAAACATACTGACCAAAATACATTTGTGGAAAATGTATAAATTAGTTATGTGCGCAATGACCCAGATGAGCACAATACAAAGAGTGACAGTGTAGGAATTCACTCAGGGTGGTGGCAAAAATAGTATAAGAAAAATGTCAAAGAAAGTTACAGAAAATAGTCTCAAACCTCTTTAGAAGGTCTAAGGGTTTTTTCTATAGTTCTTGGCTGAAGGTAGCCAGAGTCTCTTTGCAAGAGCCAGAGAGATTAGGGCACACATACAAAAGAATGTGGGTAGTTTACCTAACTAACTTGTTTACTCATATGCTCTTAAAGCTAACCTTTGAGCTAGATGGCCCTCTTGAGGGGAGGTCAACCACAGATGTTACCCATTAATGGTGTTTGCTTTGAGCAACAGAACCTGTCCTTTAACCTTTAACCTCTAGTGGTGTTGACTCAACCTTTGTCAATTAAACTTTACTGAATAAATTTGAGTCTCACTGGCAGCAGCTATCTCTTTACAGCACTCTCCAGGGAGTCTGTAAGCGGTTACAGACACTAGCCAAACTGGGAAAGCATAACATCTGTGTGTCAGGGTACTTTACTTATCCATCGCTGAGTGAGGGTCTGCAGGATAGACCACCAGAGGTGGTGATCCGAACAGTGCTGCCCAACGTGGGGTGACCCCAATAACCCATAGAAAAAAAATAAAATGTAGCTCTTTTTTCTCGCCCATAATACCTTTAAAAGTAAATTGCCAACTTCAATTATTTTGCAAATAGAGGCATGCCTGAAAGTGGATAATTTATTTATTGTTTTCTTTCTTTATTCTTTTTTATAGAGATGGGCTTTCTCCATGTTGGTCAGGCTGGTCTCAAACTCCCGACCTCACGTGATCCACCCACCTCAGCCTCCCAAAGTGCTGGGATTACAGGCGTGAGCCACCATGCCCAGCCGGAAGTGGATAATTTTTATTAAAGACAAAAGGTTGGCTGGGTGTGGTGGCTCATACCTATAAATACAGCATGCCTAGCCTTAAAATTTTTAAATTTGATTATAAACTATAGCCAAACATTCGTGAAAAAGAACAAAGAGGTATTATCTGGATTTCAAAATACATTAATAGCTAAAAAAACAAAAACAAGGTGGTACTGACAACAAAGACAGATAAATAGATAAAAAACCAGAATACACAGCCCAGAAATAAACTTTTCTATATGTGATTAAACAATCTTTTATGAAGTTGCCAGAAACACACAATAGAGAAAAGACAATGTGGCCGGGCGCGGTGGCTCAAGCCTGTAATCCCCACACTTTGGGAGGCCGAGGCAGGTGGATCACGAGGTCAAGAGATCGAGACCATCCTGGTCAACAAGGTGAAACCTCGTCTCTACTAAAAATAGAAAAATTAGCTGGTCATGATGGTGCATGCCTGTAGTCCCAGCTACTCGGGAGGCTGAGGCAGGAGAATTGCTTGAACCCAGGAGGTGGAGGTTGCGGTGAGCCAAGATCATGCCATTGCACTCCAGTCTGGGCAACAACAGCGAAACTCCATCTCAAAAAAAAAACAAACAAAAAAAAGAAAAGACAACGTTTTGAAAATATCATGTTGAAAACTGGATGTTAATAATGATAAAGCTGGATCCTTTCCTTGGATCATATACAAAAAACATTTAAAAATATTTAGAAATATAAAAATAGCCGGGCGCGGTGGCTCAAGCCTGTAATCCCAGCACTTTGGGAGGCCGAGGCGGGTGGATCACAAGTTCAAGAGATCGAGACCATCCTGGTCAACATGGTGAAACCCCGTCTCTACTAAAAATACAAAAAAAAATTAGCTGGGCATGGTGGCGCAAGCCTGTAATCCCAGCTACTCAGGA